TCTGTACATGGAATTTTATGACTCAGGTGAACCAGGTGCATTTGAATTGATATGTTATCTCTATCTTTCTGCTCATAATGACACAACTTGCTCGATATCAGTATCATTTTGCGTTATTCCTAACAGTTTATTTTCATCGCACTTTGGATGAATCCTTCCGTTTCGTTTATCATTTTGATATGCTGTGCAGGTGTGCAAGGAATGAAAGTCTTATGCTAGCAGGACTCAACTTCTACTTTTTCAAGTCAACATGACGCCTGTAATTCCGTATTCTATAAGCAATGTCTTGCATATACCTGGAACTGCCTTTACTGCAAGAAAGAACAATTGTTTAACAAAATTCAGTTTTTCGAGGAAATCTGCAAGACATACTCTATCCCCACAGAGTTTTCTTTTACCTTTTTCGACCTCTATCAAATCTTTTCCATTGTACCACAGCAGGTGCCCCGTGCATCATAAATGTAGAATCCCTGTATCTGCCACAGGAACTGATGTAGCGGTTGAGGAAGCAGACTCACCAGTTGAAGATGCAGCTTCTGGTGAAGCCAAATCCCCTGAGGATAGTCCCAGCCCATCTCAAGATGCTCAACCAAAGCGTACAAAACCTGTTAGGAAAAGTGAGATGCCGCCTGTGAAGAATGAGGAGCTGGTTGTGGGTGCAACTTTTACTGGGAAAGTAAGATCAATCCAGCCATTTGGTGCTTTTATTGATTTTGGAGCTTTCACAGATGGACTCGTACATGTTTCACAATTGAGTGATAGTTACGTTAAGGACGTTGGAAGCATCGTTTCTGTTGGGCAAGAGGTGAAGGTGACATTAGTTGAAGCCAATCCGGAGACTGGGCGAATCTCTCTCACTATGCGTCAACGTGACGATGGCAGTAAGCCGCAGCAAAGGAAAGATGCTTCTGCTGGTAGTGATAGGGGTGGACCTGGTAGAAGGAGTGGCCCAAAGAAAGGCGATAGGAAAAATGAGGTGAGAAAAACTACGAAGTTTGAAAAGGGGCAGGACCTAGTGGGCACTGTAAAGAATTTTGGCAGGGCTGGTGCTTTTATATCTCTTCCTGAGGGGGAGGAAGGATTCCTCCCTACATCAGAGGAACCTGACGATGGATTTGCAAACGTCATGGGAGAGACCTCCCTGCAGCTTGGCCAAGAAATAAACGTCCGTGTCCTGCGTACTACAAGAGGACAAGTAACCTTGACAATGAAGAAAGAAGAAGATATTCTAAAGTCGGACTCGCAGGTCAGTCAGGGAGTAATCCACACTGCAACGAACCCATTCGTTCTGGCATTCCGCCAAAACAAGGATATTGCTTCTTTTTTGGATGAAAGAGAGAAAATAGAAAAAGCAGCTAAAGCAATTCCAAGCAGTGAGTCCGGTATTCCTGAAGTGTTGGATGAAAAAGCAAGCAGCGAGCAGGGAACTCTTGGTGTCCCTGCAGCGGTAGATGAAACTGTTGAAAATGGTGGTGCTTCTTCAGAGGACCAGGAAAGCCCAGTTTCTAGTACAATTGAAACACTAGAAACTACAGAACAAACCATAGAAAAAGAAGAGGTGAGTTCTGATATCTTGGCGCCTGAAGGGAGTACATCTACCACGGACGGAGTGGAAAATGCAAGCGCAGATTTGTCTAGTGAAATAGCTAATCACACGTCGGCTTCAGAAATTCCAACAGGCGAAGAGGTTATAGAGCCTCAAGTGGATGATACCATAGCAAAAGGTGAACTGCAACCACCTACTTCAGAGAGCGAAATTCCTTCTGCTGCACTAGAAACTACAGAACAAACCATAGAAAAAGAAGAGGTGAGTTCTGATATCTTGGCTCCTGAAGGGAGTATATCTACCACAGATGGAGTGGAAAATGCAAGTGCGGATTTGTCTGGTGAAATAGCTAATCACACATCGGCTTCAGAAATTCCAACAGGCGGAGAGGTTATAGAGGCTCAAGTAGATGATACCATAGCAAAAGTTGAACTGCAACCACCTACTTCAGAGAGCGAAATTCCTTCTGCTGCACTAACTGAAGAACCAAAAGGTTCATAACTAAGTTTTTTTATTTAAGTTTAGTATTTACATTCATTCAATTGAATGCCAAAATTTTGCTCCAAGTCTGAGATGGTAACAACAAACATAAGATGCCTATAATGTGCAAAATAATATGCTATTTTGTGACCAAATACGCTCAAACTTTGCATAATTTAACATTTAGATGTTGAAACACTCATGCTATAGAGACATATTGGTTTTTTTACAACAAAATTAAAATTTAAAAACACAGATGGAACAAAAAGTGATAGAACTTCTGATCCTTCTGAAGAATTAGCTGATGATGACATCGTTTTGACAGAAAGTGAGGCCACCAAAGTAGTAGAAGACCTAGCTGACAACATTACGGAGGAAGCTCAGATTCAAACATCTGCTGCTGAGAGTGAATTGCCGTCTATCACACAAGTGGAAGATGACAAAGTGGACAGTTCTCCCGAGAAGAATGGCAGTGTTTCTAATTCAAATGGACAATCTGACAATCCTTCCCCGAAGGAAAGTAAACCTAAAGGTTGTTTTGTCTTGCTCATTTTAATGCAATTCATAAAGTTCTACAGTAAACCAAGTAAACCAACGATTAGTAAAGGCCTGAAAACTGATGGCATGTGGTTCATGGAATATCATGTACAAGGAGATCCGAACACTTTTTGATTTCAAGATGAAAATTAAACCATTGAAAACTATGAGGATCTGGAGTAAATTCTAAGAAGAATATGTGTAGGATAGGGTAAAGGAATGAATGGTTATATTGATTTGTTGGGTTGAATAATATATTATATATATATACATTTATGTATACTGTTTTACTGTGCAACACCATGTTCCATCTGATGCTGAATAATGTTGCTAGTGGGTGAGCGAGGATGAATAAAATCCTCTTAAATATGTTGAAGGATTCTGTTAAGTCATTGATTTTCCATTTCACATTGCAATTGCGGTCTTCTATTACAAGATCTATCTGCCTGTAATTGTATGTTTTTATATGTGGAGTACAGCTACTATATCACCAGCCCTTGTAAAGCAGCTGCGTGAAGAAACAGGAGCTGGAATGATGGATTGCAAAAATGCTTTGTCAGAGACTGGCGGGGACATTGTTAAAGCTACGGAGTTCCTCAGAAAGAAAGGTTTAGCAAGTGCAGAAAAGAAAGCCAGCAGAGCCACTGCTGAAGGAAGAATAGGTTCATACATTCACGATAGCAGAATAGGCATCTTGCTAGAGGTAAACTGTGAGACAGATTTTGTTTCTCGGGGTGACATTTTCAAGGAGCTGGTTGATGATTTAGCCATGCAAGTGGCTGCATGCCCTCAAGTACAGTACCTTGCTACAGAAGATGTTCCTGAAGAGTTTGTGACCAAGGAAAGAGCAATTGAGATGCAGAAAGAAGATCTTTTGTCAAAGCCGGAGCAGATTAGATCAAAGATTGTTGACGGGAGGATAAGGAAGAGGCTTGAGGAGCTGGCATTGCTTGAGCAGCCTTTCATTAAGAATGATAAGGTGGTGGTGAAGGACTTGGTCAAACAAACCATTTCAACTATTGGAGAAAACATAAAAGTGAAGAGGTTTGTGCGCTACAATCTTGGAGAGGGCTTGGAGAAGAAGAGTCAGGATTTTGCTGCTGAAGTGGCTGCCCAAACTGCGGCAAAACCAGTGGCCACGGAAGTAAAAGAGCAGCCTGCTGTAGTGGAAGTCAAAGAAACTGTTGAGAAGTAAGCAACTGCTTTCCATCTGTCATGTCTTGCTTTTATATTAGAGTCTCTAATACGGGGTCATTAATATAATAAATTGAATTTTTATTATGTTACTGTGGTAAAAACGAGAGTTCCAACACATGCCAGTATGGATGTATATTTTGTGTACGTCGCTGATGTGTATTTAACAACATATTGCAGGGCACCAACTGTAGCCGTCTCTGCTGCTTTGGTTAAACAACTACGTGATGAAACTGGAGCAGGGATGATGGACTGCAAGAAAGCTCTCTCCGAAACTGGAGGGGACCTTGAGAAGGCACAAGAGTACCTGAGGAAGAAGGGTCTTTCTTCTGCTGAAAAGAAATCCAGCAGGCTTGCTGCTGAAGGCAGGATTGGATCCTACATTCATGACGCCCGCATTGGAGTTCTGATTGAAGTAAACTGCGAGACTGACTTTGTTGGTCGAAGTGAAAATTTCAAGGGGTTGGTTGATGATCTAGCAATGCAAGTTGTGGCCTGCCCGCAGGTGCAATATGTATCCATCGAAGACATTCCAGAGAGCATAGTGAACAAGGAAAAAGAGCTTGAGAGGCAGAGGGAGGACCTTCTTTCAAAACCCGAGAACATTAGAGAGAGAATCGTGGAGGGGAGGATCTCAAAGAGGCTTGGGGAGCTGGCTCTTTTAGAGCAAGCTTTCATTAAAGATGACAGTATTTTGGTGAAGGACCTAGTGAAGCAGACTGTTGCTGCTCTCGGTGAGAACATAAAAGTTCGCAGGTTTGTTCGGTTCACTCTTGGGGAGGCAGTTGAGACGGTTGAGGACACAGAAGCTGAAGCATGAAGAAAAGATAAAAACTTCGGGTTAGAATGGAGCCGAAGAAAGGATAGAAAGGTTGGCGAAACTAATTTTAGACGGAAAGAGAGAGTTTTGTTTTGGTTTTAGTCTCCATCTGCAGCTTAGGGCTGATCGATGTGTTGCACGGTCGGAAAGAGACTTTTTTTGTTGTACCAGTGATGGAAATACAGTTCTGTTGAGGCATTTTGAAACAAAAAAGTGTATAATCTTTACATGAGACTAAAATCTCTTTATAAAATGCAAGGAGCTTGTAGCTGAGTTGTTCGATAAGAATTTCACCTCCTGCGCTCGGGGTTTTGAGTTCGAGTCTCCATCTCCAATATCGTTTAAATCAGAATTGATAATGCTCCTGATCCAATTTAAGAACAAGATTACGGATCTAATCAATGTGATGGAAACTTTTGAATCTCATCGCCGAATTTCAACGTGCCACTAGACTTGGAAGATTACAATCTAAAGGGTGAAGAATTTTGTTCAACTGTTACGGAAGGTAACAAGAAATCCAATAAAATTTGACGAAAACAGAACAAATTCCTACATCAACTTTTACATGCGTGTTTGTTCACCTATTATACAACTTACGTGACCTCTGGCCGAAAAATTAAAATGCACCATATATCATCTCGATGGGGTGCTAGATACTCTTGGGAACGAATCGCCACAAGTCCACGGCAATATCCACCTCCCTTTTCTTGTGAAATTTGTACAGCTGTGGTACATCGTATCGAAGCTGACAAACAAAGAAGACGATAACTTTAATATCACGTCAACAACAAAAGCATGCGCACTGATGTCTTTAAACAGATGATCACAGTGACGCAATGACAATTTGAAGATAACTGTAGTTACCCACCTCACATATAACTTCAGCACTGCTCGCATTGAAGTTCTGCAAGGCTGCCCTTTTCACATGCTGCAATTTACCACAAGGGAAGTGATCTCATCATGTGGTCACAGTAAAAAACCCTCCAAACTAAAGGTATCAGAAAGTAAATTATAACTGCATGTCAACGCAAGATGTGTGTAAGTGATTTACATCTCTCGTGGAAGTCTTGTGCAAGGAATAAACTGCTTGAGAAGCAATCTGACAAACGAAACAATATGAGGAAACATTTAGAACAAACAAGATAGAAGATTTCAACTTAACCTGACCCAGCATAGTAACTGCTACCAACCACATTACATGACAAAAGAAAATCAGAGATCAGCTGATGCACTTACCTTCAAGGCTACTGAGAGGAAATCCATGTCAGCACCCTTAATCCGAGTTCCAAATGGAGGATTCATTACGACAGTATCAACAACGCTACCTATATTAAGGATAAAGACCATTAGATGAAGATAGAATTTGAAGGTTTATGACTCCAATTGAAACATGAAATTCTAAAAAACGCATAACAGATATCACATAGATATTCACAAAACATGTAACTTTGAAGGGAGAAAGGAGCCAAAATTTCACTAAAGACTGTATCAAACATAAAAGAATCAACACGTGTGCTTACATATAAATTGTTTCCGCTACAAATACATACGTAAAAAGGCCACTGAACAGTAGGGTTCTCTTACCTCTCCATCCTAAGTTCTTAATGTTGCACTGAATAAAATCCATGTCCAACTGTGGGATTACCAACAGAACAATATATTAGACGATCAGCAGCAATGCACAAAATGATTCAATACAGCAAATTGTCGGAGCTATTTTCATCCATGAAATGCCTATTTCTATTAAAGACAAATATGTAATTACTAGCCAAAGCCATATACTGCATACAATCGATTATATGAATACATCTTCGAAGCAGAGCAAACCATAAAAACTATGAACATCACTACCGTAGAATTCATGGAAGTAACAGTACCTCAAGATCCTCGGCATTTTCCGCTGCTATTTCAAGCGACTGAGCATCGATGTCAATGCCAATCACCTGTCTGTTCAAAGCAAGAACACATTAAACCGAAAAAAATGAACACAAAATTCACAAACTTGATCGGTAATACCCATCAATTTCGAATTTTCGACTAACAAAGTTAAAGGGGCTGTCGAAATTCAACTAATACTCAAGTAAAAACCACAAAAGATGAAACTCACTCCGCGCCCAACAGTGCAGCTGCAACACCCAATGTGCCGCAACCGCAACCGAAATCAGCCACTACCTTCCCACTCACGTCTCCGAATGAATTCTCCGCCTAATCAATCGAAAACCCACGTTACCAACGGGACGAAATAAACCCCAAATTCAAGAATTTAGCAGAATAATCAAAACTTTAAACAAAAAGTCAGAGACTTTGAGAAGAACCAATGAGCTAGTTAATTAATTTAGCCTATGAAATTTCAGAGAAACAAAAAGGAGGGAATAAGGAGCAGAGCAATTACAGTGAAGAGCATGCGAGAAGCAATGTGGGGTCCAGTTGGGTATTGCTCCAGCTCCACCTGCAGTGAAGAAGAATATCCATCAGTATTCAGTTTCCGTGTGTTTGAGAGAGAGAGAGAGAGAGAGAGAGAGAGAGAGAGAGGGACCCTTGGATTGGAGAACTGTTGGAGACCGCCAAGGTGGCCTTCCAACTGCTTCAGCTTCATCTTTCGCTTTGAAGGGACGAAACGCCGGGGAGAAGCGAAGATTCCACCTTCCCAAAGGTTACTCGTCCCCACACTGTTTTTCCCCTTTTATTTCTTCCCTATAAACCCTAATTTTAACGATTTTCCAAGAGAATTATTAAAATGTGATGTAATTCAATTCTATTCTTTTAAAATGACCATGATTAGGAACGAGGAAATTTAAGGTAAAGTATAGTGACCGCAATTGAAGATAAGATGTTAAGGTAATTTGGATATGTGAAACAAAGACCTACAAATACTCCAGTTAAAAAATACGACAAAGATTCAGAGAAACAAGATAGAGATAGAAGACCTAGGAAGATTTGTAAAAAGAAAAACTTAAAAAAAAAAAAATGAAATATTTGGAGTTAATAGAAGACTTGACGTAAAACCAAGCGCAACAGCTTTCTAGAATTCATATAGCCGATCCACTTAATGAGATAAGACTTTGTTGTTATTGATGATAAAGTTCAGTTCTTTTATATCTTAAAATATGATACCTTGTTGACGGAATTTTTTTTATTAATCCTTCTCATTTTTCTTGTAAAATTTTATTTTGACCTCACAAGCACCTAGGATTAATTAGCTTTATTTATTTATTTAGCTAGTTTGTAAGTTTTATAGAAGTACATATATTACTTTAGGATTAACTTTTATAAATTTTATAAGGTTTAAATTCTACAACGGTCTCTGTGTTTGGAGTTTGGACACCAACACGCGGTGTTACCAATTCCTCAGTTCAATCTTTTGGTTGTTATTTGCGAGAAGAGTGATTGTAATACCGGCGGTGTTACCAATTCATCCGTGCTACCAATCCCGAGTCCAAACACAGTGACCCTAAACCCTGAAATATAAACATATCATACCCTCGTATTATAATACGTGAATTAATAACATCATCGATCATGATCAGTGAGGCGGTCATACTCAAACTTACCCTTTTTTGGCAAGTCTTGCAATACAGGCTACAAAGCAAAACCAAACTAGTATTCCAATACCGCAGTTAATTCCACTGCTTTATGTAGAGACATGGTCCTGATGGAGTTGCCATGGCAAACAAACCATTTTTCATACACAATACAATTACTTCAAGTAGCCAACTATCAGAAATACAGGAGAGAAAGGGGAAGAGAGAGAGAGAGAGAGAGAGAGAGAGAGAGAACTAATTAAACTAGACCAGTTTGCAGAAACATATTTCCTACTAGAATGTCATATTTTGTTACACTAAATATTCAATATTTTAGAAGCAAAAGTTGATAAGAAACAGAGTGCCCGATTTTGCGAACCGTTCAGTGCCCTTCACCCCGATCATAACAGCAGCTCCCTCCGACCTCATTTGCTTAGAGTATTTGATCCATTCATGGTTGATGAGATGGCGCTAATTACCATTTTTGCACTTCTGCATGGCCCTTGGGGCTATAAAAAATAGATAGAAAAACATGAGGATAATGGTAGCTAAGGATTTCATTTCGCAAACAAAAGCCAAAATCACCATGCCATCATGAAATTTTTCGGTATTCTGTCCGTGCAAGAATACAACTTAGAAAGATTAAAACCGATCTTCATAGTGATAGACATGAAAAGAAATGAATTAGATGGAAAAAAATGGATCACCGAAGATACCTAGACCAATAGCCTCTGAACTCTTCATGATCCTCATCCTCTTACACGAGTCGGTGAACATTCTAGAAGAACAAACAGTCACAAAACTAAGATGCGATCCTCAATTAAGTAAACATTCTTGCATGGAGAAACCTCCTTTGAAAAGCTATTCTATTTGCCTATTTGGTACTATTGTATGTTTCTTGGAATATGAACATGTAATTTGCAAATTGTGTGAAAAAATCACTTACTCCCAGGGAACATCACCAACTAGCATCCAATCACCATCCTTGTCTTCATAGGTGAGGACATATTCAGCACCATGTAGGAGATCCATCAATCGACTCTCGCTCAATCCATCTCTTGAAGCTCCATGTGAGCCACATTGACCTGAACAAGTTTTCAATTAAAAGATAAAATAAATAAATCGGAATTTGTTTCAAGTTAGATCAGGATTTATTCTTGTCTTAGTTGTCTACATGTATCGAAATATCAACTAGTTGAATTACTTATACCCAGAGACATGCAAACATTCGACCCAACTCTTGTAACGAATTTACAGTTCTGATATTCCAACTAAAGAAGGAACAAAACAACTTTCTTGTTAAGGTAAACATTCTTCAATTGTTCTCGATATCTGATCCTAGCTTCTTAAAGATGATTTGAATCACATAATACTACTGCCGGAAGGGGAAATTTACGGCAGGTGAACATGGACAGAGGATGAGTTATAAAGATAAACTACCAATTGTGAAGCAGCTGAACATCTTTTCCAGAGCTAGAGATAAATCCAGATAGCTGCCATAGGTTTTGAGATCAACTTTCCTCAGGTACGGTGCACCATCCATGCTGACCTTAACATACAGACACCCTGCTCCCATCTTGCCTTCTGCATCATCATCATTTTTCGAAGGAACGGAAGCCATTGAATTCTTCCTAAAAGAACGAATTGGTGGCCATCCTACAACCTGTGCCCTGTAACACACGACATAAAACAAGTTAGAATTTACAAAGAATATCTTAAATAAGATTTGCTATAACTTCGCACTATCCAATCTACGACTATATAAAGTACATAACGGTGCAATTTTGGGTCGAGAAGTCCAGAAAGCAGTAAATTCAAAACAATGAAACCAAGCTAACAGATTAAAGCCTTGGCTGGCAGCCTTGCACAGACGAAAAACTCTTACTGTTCTGAGGCAAATTTAAAAACATACGTGCAACGAAACAATTGAAATTAACACAATCTTATGCCCTTCTTCCAAACATGGAAAGGGAACTTTTGAGCAACATGAGAAATGTAACAACCAATGTACAAAATAAAGTGCATGCAAAACCAACTCTTCAATTCAACCTGAACAGACAAAGAAAATCCCCACAATTTTCTCTAGTACTACTAATTAATAAGATAAGAACAAAAATTAAAACCCATCAGAAATATAATACCACAATTCAGCAAACAAAATATTCATCTTTCTGCAGAAAATTTCTCTAAAGGTAAAAGAAAGATGAAAAGGGCAGAGGAAGAAAACAAATTACTTTGCAGCAGGGGCAGTAGACCCAGCAGACCCTTGGGGTTTCTTCTCATGCAATGGCTTTGGAGATTGCTGGACACCATCTTTCACAGCAGAGCCAGCTAAACCGGTTGGTTGATTGCTGGGTTCACACCCAGCAGCAAGAGCTTTCCCAGCATTCACACCTCTAGGAGAGAGCAAGTTCCCACCTTTGCCCAACTCCACCGCAGATCCACCACTCACAGAGAAAACCCACTTTCCAGAAGCTCCATCAATGGCGTCTGAGAAGCCCCTCTTGGCCCCAGACACCAACCCCTTAACCCCACAGACTGAAAACCCAGCAGCCTTCTCCTCCACCCCACCACCACCGCCGCCGCCGCTGTCTCTCTCCGGAGACCGAGAGCCAGGCAAACCCAGCCTCAGCTCAGTGGCTTTGAGGTTCAAAGCAGCAGACTTGGTAGAGGTTTCCATTGAAGGAGATAAGCCTATGTAATCATGTTCCAAAGATATAGACATCAAAATATATCAACCCAGAAAGCATTAAATGGATTTAAAACCAGAGAAATTAAAAGTTGCGAGCTTTTCTTTCAGATTAAATTGGTGTTTTGGAGAAGAAGATGAAGAAAATGAGAAGCTTTTTTGGGGTTTTGCTGCTCTCTCTCTCTCCTGTTTGTATATAAAATACACACTTTCTCTCTCAGTACTGAGTACTCTGCAACAGAGAAAATCAATAAAATAAAGAATTATAAATAAATTTAAAAAGCAGGGAAAATGTGGGAATTATTAAATTAAAATTTAATAGACAGCTTTTCTTTTTGGTCGATTATTAAATAGACAGCTTGAGAAATAAAAAGTGCCAACCTTTGGGTTTGGCTTTTTTTAACAATAATAATATAAACTATAATGTTTTTTATTCATATTTCCCCCCAAACTTTTGATGTTTACTCAATTTGGTCTTTTAACTTTATTTTGTCTTAAATTAGTTCTTAAACTTCTGTGTATACCTAATAATAAAATGATTTTTATCACAAAAGTTGATAGAATAGCATGTGATTACTTTATGAATATCTACTTGCTCTAATGCTCACTATTTACTAGCACACGACCACTTTTGTATAATGAAACATACCAAACCAACCAACTCAAATCAATCAGCTGGTTTGTATGTTTTACCTCTAGAAAATTGAAGATAGAATTTAAGCACTTAGTTTGCTCGAAACAAAACACAACCAAATTGAATAACTACAAAAAATTATGGCAACTTTTATAATTACCATCACTATAACATTATTGTTCTTTTTTTTTTTTTTTTCATAATCTCTATCGACCTCATTTACCACATTTTATAAATATTTAAGACGAAAAAGTCTGAGGACCAAAGTGAAACCAGTCCTAAATTTCAGGGGACAAATTAATAATAACTAAATTATAATTTTCTATAAGAACCTTTTTTGGGGGCAACCAGTCCGACAGGTCACAGAAAGTTCCCGGCAAACTTTCCTTTTCTATTATTTATTCCAATTTTATATTATTCTTCAATTTTTTTTTTATTATTCTCCAATATTAAAATAAAAAAATATTCTCAAAAATAATAGAAAAATTGGTATTCGCGCAGTGAACGTGTGGCCGGCAATGGGAAATTACGGAAAGGGACGGGACTGGAAAAAACAGTCGGAATTTTCAAGGCGGATAGGGAAATCCCGGGCGGGGGGGATTGTTTTGGCGGATACGGTGTTTGGATTGCGGGAAAGAAAGGGAAAAGTCGGGTGGGAAAGTGAGAGAATTTGTGAGAAAGCTGACACCGATGGAGATGCTCGAAACGACCAATTGGACAAAAAAAAATTAAAAAAAAAGGAAAAAGACGGCAGTTTGATGAATTGGGAAGAGAGTTAGGTTGATGGGGAAGTGACTTTCTGTGATTTGTGTTTGTACGTCCCGACAGCTAGCGGTCGTTTGGATGCCCGGAAA